GAAATTAGGAGCGTAAGAATTGGAAAGGAGGGAATAAGATTTTATTATCTGCTGATGATATAACCATTTACATAGAAAGCAGAAGCATATACAGACAGATTATTAGAAATAATGTAAATTTAGGTGACTGGATAGAAGATCAATGAAAGTCATTTGTATTTTTGTATATATGCAAAAACTAAAAATTATAATGAGAAGGCATCACAATAGTATTAGAATATTAACCTTCAAGATTATTCTAACACAAACGTGTTAAATCTCTAAAGGGAAAATTAAAAAATTTTACTAAAAGAAATTAAGTCTTTAATAAATAGAGAAATATATGTTAATGATTAGGAACCAATTTGATCTATATATAAAGTGTAATTTCATTCAAAATCCCAAGAGGGATTTTTATGGAACTTGATAATAACATTTATATGGAAGAGATATAAGGGGCCGGGAATGCAAACTGGTGCAGCCACTGTGGCAGATGGTATGGCGGTTCCTCAAAAAGTTATAAATAGAATTACCCTATGATCCAGTAATTGCACTACTGAGTATTTACCCCCAAAATACAAAACACTAACTCAAAGGGATACATGCATCCCTATGTTCATTGCAGCATTATTTACACTAGCCAGACTATGGAAGCAGCCCAAGTGTCTATCGATAGATAAATGGATAAAGAAGATTGGTATATATGCACAATATATTGGAATATTATTCAGCTATAAAAGAGAAGGGAAATCTTGCCATTTGCGACAACATGGATGGAGCTAGAGAGTATAATGCTAAGTGAAATAAGTCAGAGGAAAGCCAAATATGGTTTCACTCCTGTGGTATTTAAGAAACAATACAAAGAGCAAAGGAAAAAAAGAAGAGACAGACAAGAAAACAGACTCTCGGAACAAACTAATGGTTACCAGAGGAGAGGGAAAGTGGGTGGGGGATGGGTGAAATAGGTGATGGGGATTAAAGAGTATACTTAACCATGATAAGCATGGAGTAATGTATAGAATTGTTGAATCATATTGCACACCCAAAACTAATAGAACACTGTATGTCAACTATACTGGAATTAAAATTGAAAACTTAAAAAGTTAGGGGGCCAAGAATAGCTGGTCACTTCTAAAAAAGAACAGGGAGAAGACATGCTTTACTGGATAACAAGACTCATAAGGTCGGATAATGGAGAGGAGATGGATTCACAGGATATCTTATACATTCTTGATGGGATTGTGGATTGGTGTAAACACTTTGAAGACAGTTTGGTATCAGTTCCTAAAGTTGGGTATTCACATATGCTATGATCCAGCAATTTCTCTTACAGATATGCCTAAGAGACACTTTTTTTTTTGCACATGTACAAGAATATTACTAGTAGCACTATTCATAATGGTGAAAACCTAGAAACAACCCAAATGTTCATCACACACTGAAATATTGTACAACAATAAAAATAAATGGAAAATAAAGTATGCTGTGACATGGATGAATCCTGAAAACATTATGCTAAGTGAAATAAGCCAGACACAAAAAGACAAATGTTGTGATTTCACTTATATGCGGTATCTAGTATAGGCATATTCATAGAGACAGAAAGTAGTTTTGTGATTACCAGGGCCTGGGGAGAGGAAGTCATTGGAGAGTTCATCGTTTAATGGGTGCAGAGTTTCAGTTTGGTGATTAAAAAGTTCTGGAGATGGATCGTGGTGATGGTGTACAGTATTGTGAATGTACTTAATGTTACTGAGTTGTACACTTAAAAATGGTAAATTTTATGTTATATTTAGTTTACAATAAAATTAAAAACTAAGGACTCCTAATTAACAGGAAACAAACAGGATTGCTGGAGGGGAGGGGGTGGGGGTGGGGGGTAACTGGGTGATGGACATAAAGGAGAGCACATGATGTAATGAGCACTGGGTATTATATAAGACTGATGAATCACTGACCTCTACCTCTAACTAATAATACATTATATGTTAATAAAAAAACAAAAGTGACACGACAGTAGGAATTAATGTTAGTGAAACAAAAATCTTTAAAATTACTATACCTGCTTTTTTTTTTTTTTTTTAAGATTTTATTTATTTATTTGACAGAGACACAACGAGAGAGGGAACACAAGCGGGGGAGTGGGAGAGGGAGAAGCAGGCTTCTTGAGGAGCAGGATGCGGGGGGCTCTATCCCAGGACCCCAGGAACCTGAGCCGAAGGCAGATGCTTAACGACTGAGCCACCTAGGCGCCCCTATACCTGCTTTTTTAAAGTTAAAAACAACTAAACAATACTCTTTAGCATTGCATTTTGATGCAGTAAAATGCATAAAAAGGAAGGGAAGAAAATCAAAACAGGATAAGGATGATTGTTGGGGAGAGGCAGGAGAATGGGATAGGGAGGGGATATTATAATTAAATATAGGTTGTTGTCAAGAGTACTGCTTTGCAGGTGCTCATTCTATCAGGAAGAATCAAGGAAAAGTGGGCCATGTGTGGATAAACAATGAGAGTATGTTGAAGGAAAGGATTATGATTAATTCTGTACATTGAGGTCTAACAGGCAAAAAAATATTACTAAGTGGGGACTTCAGAACTCTTGAGTTTGATATCTTGACTCTAGCAGTTCACTGAATTGTATTATCTTGGGCAAATAACACCTCCATGCTTCTCTTGCCTTAGATGTAAAACAATAATAATTATTAGTATAGTATAATAATAATATTAATTATACTAATAATTATTATACTGTAAATAATAGTAATAATAATATTACCTACATCATAGGATTATTTAAGTATTAAATGGGTTAATATGTGTGCCTGGTACAGTGTAAGCTCTCCATAAGTCTGAGCCATTTGTTTTGATTATCTAGTGCTATGTAATAAACCACCCAACAACTTAGTGAGTTAAAACAACAGCCATTTTATTTATTATGATTCTGTGAGCTAAGTTGGATGGTTCTTGTGTGTCATGCAGCTGTGGTCAGCTGACAGCTGCTGTTGGAATGTTCTGTAATATGTGGTGCTTTGGAGGGAATGGCTGGAAGGCTGGGCTCAACTGGACAACTAATCCTCTCCACATGGCCCTTTTATGTGGTCTCCAGTAGAGTAGTCCTATTTTAGGGGTCTCCAAAAGCACAAAAAATGAAGCTGCCAGGCTTGGAATTGGCACATTATCACTTCCGCTGTATTCTGTTGATAAACGTCACAGAGCTACTTGGGAGATGTGGTTCATTTTTTTAAGATTTTATTTTTAGGTAAGTGTAGACCTAACATGGGGCTTGAATTTACAATCCTGAGATCAAAAGTCGTATGCTCCACCGACTATGCCAGGCACCCCCCATCCACACTGTTACTGATACTTGTATCCATCATGTTGCTCTACAGTGTATGTAATTGTCAAGTTTAGGCACCAAGGATTTATTAATCAATGAATAAATAATAATCCCTGCCCACTTGCTGCTTATGTTTTACATGATAAGTAATTAAAATGTATAGTATGTTGGTTGGTAACAAGGACAGTAAAGAAAAATAAGGCAGGGAAGGAGATAGGGAATACTGGGGGCTGGGAGTTGCAGTTCTAAAAATGGGTAGTCATGGAAGGCCTCGGTAAACTGACATTTGAGCAGACAAAAGGAGGAGGTTAGGAGCTCAAGGGGCAAGGGTGGGAGCAAGAAAACCTTAGGAGGGTAGTGTAGTTGAGAGGTAGGTGGTTTGGATTAGTGCAGTAATAACTGAAGTGGTGGGAAAGGGTTAGAGTTTGGGATATATTTTGAAGATACAGCTTTAGAGTTTATTTATGAACTGGGTGTGGAATGTGAAAGAAAAAGGAATCAAGGATGGCTTCAAGATCGTTGACCTGAGCAACTGGAAGGATGGAGTTGCCGGTTGCTGAGATGGGGAAGGCTGCAGGACTGGCAGGTTTGGGAAGATCAGGACTGGTGCTTTAGGTATAAGGTTTGAAATGCTAATTAGAAGCTAGCTGCTTTTTAAAATTGTAAATTCTGCTTGTATCCTATTTGACTTCCATTTTGTAGCAAGGGAGGCAGATGGGGAAGGGAGAAATTTGTATTTTGTTACAGTTAGTAAGTATTCTCAGAAGATTGAGGAATCTTGTTAGTTTTAGCCAGACTATTTGTCAGTTTTTCCAGGCCCCTTTCACCCTTTCCCTGCTGTGGCTTGTTGGTCATAAATTTCACTGATCATTTATCACCTTTTTACTAGAAAATGGTAAACTTCAACAAGTTTATTTAAAAATTTATTTTCCCTCTTAAAGCTTTTTTCAAAAATTTTTTTAAAGGAGAGATGGTAGAGGTGAAAATTTTTAACTAAACCTTACTATTTCATTTCATGCTTATATCTTTCCTTGATGATAAATGTCCACCTTGGCTTAACCCATCTTGTAGGTATTTAGTTGCTGTATACTCTTTGGGTTTGGCAGGTATTAAAAGCTGCTTTAACTGATACTGAGTAATTTGATTCTCACTTTCTTGTAGTTCCTTGCCAAGACATGTTTCAACATGTTGCAGAGGTTTTTCTTGATGCGCTCTTGGAATCTTAAATCTATTACTTAATCTTGGTAATTCCCCCAGCTCTACATCATTTGTCTTCCAGGGGGTGCTCTTGAGCACTGTTCAAGAGAGGAGGAGTTACTGAAACCCTGATATCCATTGGGGAGGTAGTGATTGTAAATTTGACTTTCAGCTAAAACAGTTTACTCATTATCATCACTGTGGAGGTTGGAGCATGCCTGAACCTGTTTCTGTTTCAGGCTTTACCTGAGGGAAGCGTAGATGGCTCTGACTATTAATTAAACTCTAAAGTTTTTTGTAGGATCTGAACTTAGGGATAAGAAGAGTATCAAGAACCGCATATGGATATATCGCATTTGTGTAGGGCGCTCTGATACGTGTGTCTTTTTTTTTTTTTTTTACTTCTGCTGGCTGCTATTTTGTAAATCTTAAAGTGAGAATTTTCTACTTTAGAAGAGATTTCATGGTTTTTTTTTTTCCTTTTAGATTTATCAGCAGACGACAATTTCTTCACTGCCAAAATGACATCATTTTCCACCTCTGCCCAGTGTTCAACTTCTGACAGTGCTTGCAGGATCTCTCCAGAACAAACCAATCAGGTAAATCATTTTTAGGCATTCCCAGTTTTCTGTAAGCTTTTAAAAAATTGAGTTGGAGCATATAGGTGACTTCACTTACTAGGATTTTATGTAGAGCAGAATGGATTATTTTTTAAATGCCATATTAGGGAAACTAGGAAATGGTGTCAGTGCTCAAAATTTGAATTGATTATTGATTAAATAAAGATGAGGTTACAGATTGCTTAAAATACGGTACATTTTGAAAACTTGTGTTTTAGAGTATGGGTGGCTTGTGGAGAATTTGGGGTCAAGTTATATGTTTGTTTTCTGTTTCTCTCACTTCATTTTAACAAGCTTGTTTTCTTTAAAAATTAATTTTAAGTTGTAAATATAGCAAATACATTCTTATTAAAAAATCCAATTTTATAATGTATTTATAAAGTATTTATCTATAGGGACTCCTTGACTGTCTCTTCTCTTCTTCCCCCAAAGCCCCCTCCCCCTAAGACAACACTGTTATTAATTTGGTGTGTCTTGTTTCAGATCTTTTCCTCTAACATATAAAAATACATAATTTGGTCTTGTGTTTTCATAAACATTGCACAATATGTATAGTATTATGTACCTTAGTGTATGATAAAGGTGGAATTTGGATTTGATGGGGGGAAAATGTGGCTTATGTAATAGATGGTTTTGATGTAATTGTCCATCTCTGGAAGGAAACAAATGAAGACCTCCAACTTTGTACAAAAACAAATTCCAGATAGATGAAGATTTAAATGTAAAAAGGGAAATAATATTAGAAGAAAATTTAGGAAATGCTTGTGAAACTTTAGGATGAAGGGGGCCTTAAATAAGACAAAACCAAAGAGGTGGTAAGAGGAAGAGAGAGATAACGTTGACCATAAAAATTTTAAAGATAAAATTGTGTGGCTAAAGACAGACTCCACAGAGTCAAGAAATGTCAGAGTCACTATCCCATGTGTGTTTATACCACATCTGGTTTATCTGCTCACCTGTCGGTGCTATTTGGGTTGTTTCCATCTTTTAGCTATTGTGAATAATGCTCCTGTGAACACTGGTGTACAAATACTTGTTTGAGTTCTACTTTCAGTTTTTTTGGGTATATACCTAGGAATGGAACTGCTGGGTCATACGGTAATTCTGTGTTTAACTTTTTGAGGAACTGTCAAACTATTTTCCACAGCAGCTGAACCATTTTATCTTCCCACCAGCAGTAGACAGGGGTTCCAGTTTCTCCACACGCTTGCCAATACTTACTTTTGTTTCCTTTTTTCTTTTTATCTTGGCCATCCTAGTAGCTGTCTTTTGAAAATGGGATTTTTCAGAGAGGTGACAAGTAGTTAGTCTGATTATCTGCTATTATTGTATGTATTGGAAGATTGTATGTTATTAGATGGTAAGTATCTACCAGGGTTTGTTAAAAAAAAAATGAGGTTTTCTTGTTCCCTAGGGTTTCAGAAACCAATCTAGTTGGAATATAAATAGCAGGTTTATTTTATGTTTATATCAGGTACGACCAAAACAGCCACTTTTGAAGATTTTGCAGGCGGCAGGTGCACAAGGTGAAATGTTCACTGTTAAAGAGGTAAGCCATCAAAGAGAATTCTCAGTTATAAGAACAGCTGAGAAGTAGAGGCTGATGAAAATTAAAAAAGTAGAAGCTGATGAATATATAGGTCTGAAATCAGACCCAAGAAAGGAAATTCTCTGCCTAAGGTACTAGAGAGGCAACTTTTGCTTTGTTTTAAAGACCATTGAGCTAAACTGAACTTCATATTTCCTTTAAATATCCTTTTGAAGTATGTTGTCAGCCAAACATAAAATTAACCATTAATTCATTGATCTCAGTTAAAATGCAAAGCGTGTACAAGATTAAAAAATGACACTATGATTTATAGGATGTACTGCCAGGCAGGAATTAAATGCAGTAGTTTTTCATTATAAATGTGTCCGATACTCTTCTGAGCACTGTGAGTTATTTCAAACACTTATGCATTTAAATAACTTATTTAGCATCTAAAGGATGCTAAGGAGAGAATTTTCAAGCAGCCTCCGTGCTGAGTTGGGGGCCCGGCCTCGAGCTCGATCTCCATGATCTGAGCGCCCATGAGATCATGACCTGAGCCCAAACCAAGAGTTGGTGCTTAACCAACTGAGCCACCCAGGTGCCCTGAAGTATGGAATTTTCTATCAATAAGGTTGTTACGATGAATTACGCTATCTCCTTCAATCTCATGGTAGAGTTTTCCTGGGTTAAGAAATTAAGTACATATTGGTCAGAATGTTTTACTGGAGAAAAAATTAGAGTCCGTTTACGTGAAGCTCTCTATTATGAATTTTGACCCTATCTGGTGCATAAATAATTTCTTAAATTTTATTTTTAAATATTGGTTCTCAATATGTGCATTGAGGCAGTATGGTATAATAAGAGTAGTAATTATGTACACATTGTTAATTTTTTATTTTTTTAGTTTAATGCATTTATTTTTATTTTATTATTCTTTTAAGATTTGATTTTTAAATAATCTCTACACCCAATGTGGGGCTCGAGCTCACAACCCCAAGATCAAGGGTTGCAGGCTTTACTGATTGAGCCAGCCAGGTGCTCCTAGTTTAATGCGTTATTTATTTATTTAGATTGATTGATTGATTGATTAGAGCGTACAGGTGAGCATGCAGGTAGGTGGGAGGGGGCAAAGGGGGAAGGAGAGAGAGTGCTAAGCAGACTCTGTGCTAAGCCCGGAGTCCAGTGTGGGGCTCGTCTCACAACCTGAGCCGAAACCAAGAGTTGGACGCTTAACTGACTGCCACCCAGGTGCCCTTTTTAATGCATTTTAATAGTAAACTTACAGGAACAGCACAGAAGACAGATAACATTAAAAACATGTACTTGCATGTAGGACAACTCAGAAAAATATAGTGAATGGATGGATCTACCATATGATAAAAATGCTACCAACACCATACAGTTACTGTCAGTAAGAAATTTACTTGTTTATTTTATTTTTATTATTATTTTTTAAAGCTTTAATTTATTTATTTGACAGACAGCAAGAGAGGGAACACAAGCAGGGGGAGCAGGAGAGGAGAAGCAGGCTTCCCGCCGAGCAGGGAGCCCAGTGCAGGGCTCGATCAGGTCCCTGGGATCATGACATGAGCCGAAGGCAGACGCTTACGACTGAGCCACCCAGGTGCTCCAGAAATTTACTTGTTTAAAAAAAAAAATCCAGGGCACCTGGGTGGCTCAGTTGGTTAAGCCTCTGCCTTCGGCTCAGGCTCAGGTCTTGATTGCAGGGTCCTGGGATCAAGCCCTGCCTCAGGCTCTGCGCTCAGCGGGGAGTCTGTTTCTCCCTCTCCCTCTGCCACTCTCCTGCTTGTGCTTTCTCTCGCGCACGAGCTCTCTCTCTCTCTCAAATAAATGAATAAAATCTAAAAAAAAATTTTAAAAAAATCCAAATTGTCCAGAAAAATATAACAGGTTTTTATAATTGTTATGAAGTTGAACTGCTGAGACTTGTTCACTGAAACGTTTTGACTTGCATGGATGCCTTAGATCCCTGCATTTATATTAAAAAACTCACACATGAATGAAAATGGAAAAACTGCCAATACCTGATTTCTGTCCCCTATTTTTCCACTTGTAATCATATACTTAGTTACTTTTTGATCCCATGGGAAAAAAAATATCTAATGTTCAGAACTACCAATAGGAAGAAGAATTTTTTTTAAAGAATGAAATGTTTTCCATCATAGCGGATTCTTAAGCACATTCTCCGTGTGTCGCGTGCTAGCTGGATAGATGTCTTTTGGCATAATTGTTACATGTTTGGTATGGATGGCAAACAGTTTGGCGTCTTTAAAAAGGCCCACCAGACAGGCCTCACTTGCCTCCTGCAAAGCACCAGTAGCTTCACTGAAGCGGAGATCTCTTTTGAAGTCCTGAGCAATTTTTCGCACCAGATGTTGGAAAGGAAGTTTGGGAATCAGAAGTTCAGTGGACTTCTGATGTCTAATTTCACGGAGTGCAACGGTACCCGGCTGTAATGATGAGGTTTCTTCACCCCTCCAGAAGAGGGCACACTCTTGCAAGTGGCTTTTTGTAATCAGCTGCTTCCTCAGAGCTTTACCACCGGTTGATTTGCAAGTGGTCTGCTTTGTACAAGCCATAGAATAGAGACCTTACTTACTCCCCCTTCTCCTTCATCTGGAGCTTGGGGAGCTAGAGACTGTGATGGTGCGGCAGTGACTGCAAACAATTATGTACACGTTTATAGGGTAGATGATCTATACTGTCTTAGAAGATCTTATTTTGTATACTTAGAGTGAATTTATTTCTTCTGGAAGTTGGGCAGATATAAATATAAAACTTCCTCCTTTTTCTTCCAGTGGATGCTCTTCCCCATCTTATTTCCCCCTAGATATTTGATTATCTGGGGTGAAATGTTGCTTGGTATAGAGGGAGCTTAGGAGCATTATTGTACCAATATAATGGGAACAGTGTTGGAAAAATCTTCTGTGCAGATATCTAATAATTCCTGAGAAGTTGGGACCTAAGGATAAAGATAGCTGCTTTGGTCTGCTTGTGATCTATGACAGCAAAGTTCTGACTGTCATTAAGTGAACTTAATTATTAAGCCTTTTAAAAAAATCTGTATAGAGAAAACCTTAGGAAAAAATAGATAATTTAAAACTTGAATCATGAACTTGTCTGAGTTCCTTCCATTTTTGTGAACTCTGAAAAGAGCCAGATAAATTTTTATTTGATAGATACTAGATTCTATGTTTTATGCACTTACAGTGCTGATGGCTTATTAACCATTGTACTTTTTTTGCCAAAAAGGAATTAAGTGAACATGCGTCAAAGGCATCTTGTAGTTATGTGTCCCTGGACTTGGAAAATATTTTTAAGACCCAGGCACATTTAAGGTTTATTACTTCTAGTCATAGAACAGACCTCTTTATTTGAACTGGTGAGAAAATTTTTGAGGGGATACTAGGTAAATTCAACACTTGATTTGTGTTCTTTGGAGCTGTTGGACAGACCTCTTTATACCGTTTTATTGCCCTGCAGGTCATGCACTATCTAGGCCAGTATATAATGGTGAAGCAGCTTTATGATCAGCAGGAGCAGCATATGGTGTATTGTGGTGGAGATCTTTTGGGAGAACTACTAGGACGTCAGAGCTTCTCCGTGAAAGATCCAAGGTAAGAAGAGTGAGGGTTTGTTTATCTTTTTGGGTGCTTATATCTAACCACTCAGTCTCCATAGGATATTAATGGTTATTTATTCCTTTAGTCAATCAATATTTAAGGGCCTACATATGTCAGGTAACCTTTGAGGCCCTGAGAACGTGTTAGTGAGCAACAATCTCGGATTCTGCGGAGCTTAAAGAGCAGTGAGACAGTAGATGCTCTTCCCCATCTTAATCAGGATATCACACCAGCACATGGTAAAATTATACTGTGGGTGTTACAGACAAGAGGTACATGAAGCTGTGTTGGGGGTGGGATTTAGGGTCTTAGGGGTCAAGGTACAGTTCTTGAGGAAGTGCTATTTGAGCTGAGAGCTGCAGGATAGTGAGGAGAGAGAGGCGCTCTAGGAGAGTGTTGGAGAGCTTCTGGCAGATTGAATATCATGTGCAAAGGCCTGGGTAGGAGGAGTTTGATGTGGCTAGGTTAGAATTTTGTGAAGCAGCTGTTACAGAGAGGAAGAGTGAGCTGATTAGAGAAATGTAGCATTGCTGGGCAGTTTGAGGTCGAATGATGGGCTTCATAAGAATCACAGTAGAGGGGCACCTGGGTGGCTCAGTCGGTTGGGCGTCTGCTTTCAGCTCAGGTCATGATCTCAGAGTCCTGGGATTGAGCCCGACGTCAGGCTCCCTGCTGTTCAGGGAGTCTGCTTCTCCCTCTTCCCCTAACCCCACTCATTCTCTCTCTTAAAAAAAAAGGAAAAAAAGAATCACAGTAGAGCTTCTCTGACCTGTTGTGTGACTTTCTCCAGCTGCATGGGGTGTATATGGTTGTTACAGAGTCAAAAGCTAATTAGTAATTGAGAAGCCAATGTTTTCTTTCTATAGCTTTGTGATGACTGTTTCTTCTGAGCTCATTTTGTCTTACTTTGGTAAGACTACCTTCCACCCCTTCCTCAATTAAAATTGTAAAACTTAATTCCTAGTGGGAAGGAATGGTCTCCAAAGGAAATCTTGTGTTACTGTTAGCTAATTAAATAAAATGTAAATTAATTAGTTTCTTAATGGGGGCAGAGTAACACAAGCACTTGGACATGAATATCTTGACATTTAAATAATTACAAACAAACCTATTCTGGGGAAAACATTCTGCTTCTCCATGTGTTATAGAGAAAGTTGGAAAATCACGTATCAGTTAGACATGTAACGTTTTAATGGAAAACCATGACGTTATTAATATATTTTTTTTTCTCTCTGACAGCCCTCTCTATGATATGCTAAGAAAGAATCTTGTCACTTTAGCCTCTGCTACTACAGGTACGTCACATCCTATTTCTTCAGACTGTATCACAGCTTTGAGCTCAAGGGGGCAAATGATGGGAAAACAAGGAGGATCAAGATGGAAATGAAATGCTGTGTTGGCATGATTGGGAGGGATACCTGTCATACAGAATGTTACCGGGATGTTAACTTTTCACTGTGAAAAATTTCAAATATACTGAAAATAGATTAGTATAATGCCCATCTCTTAGACTTAGTAATTGTTAACATTTTGCCACATTTGCTTCATCTGGACATACTTTTTTTTTCTTAATTTTATTATTATTTTTTAATCTGGACATACTTTTAAAATCTCTAACAGATAAAGACCTTTTTCCTTTAAACATAACTACAGTGCCATTCTTACACCCAACAAAATTAATAATAATAAAGTAAATAATAACTCCATAATACTATCCAATAGCCAGTGTATATATAGTTTACCCCCAGTCATCCCAGAAATGTCTTTTACATTTGGCTTGTTGAAATCAAGATCCAGACAAAGTCCACACATTGCACTTGGTTGATGTGTCTCTAAGCATCTTTATAAAACAATCCTCCTTTTATTTTTATGTCATTTATTTGTTGAAGAAATGAATCATTTGTCCTATAGAATTTCCCAAATTCTAGAGGTTGCAGATTATATTCTTGTGATGTTGTTTAACGTGTTTGTCTATTTCTTCTATTTTCGGTAAGCTAGTAATGCTTGAATAGTTTCAAGTTTAAGTTTTTTGCTGAGAAGGTGTCATAGGTGGTGCTTTGTACATCTGTTCCATCACATCCGAGTTATGTAAGGTCCACTTGTCCCTCTTTCAGTGATGTTGATTCCATGGGCTCATGTGGTGTTCCTCTGATCCATCTGTTTGTCAGGGTCCCCCAAGAACCTTTCACCTAATGGTTTTAGCTTTCTGTTATATGAATGCCAATTTGTCCTAACACCCTTTGCTTGATTCCATATATTTTAAATACTGCCTTTTGAGCTTATTAGGTAGGTGCAGGAAGCGGGCTGCTTTGGGCTCTGAAGTATGATGTGTTAGAGATCAATCAACTGGATATAACTTAAATGTAACCCTGTCTTTTACTCATTTCCAAATAATGAAACTTTTTTTTTTCTCCATTCCTCTGTGAAGCCTTTTTGTGAGCTTCAAATTAGATTTTAGGTAACCTTATCCTTTATTTTTTTAAAGATTTTATTTATTTATTTAACAGAGAGAGACACAGTGAGAGAGGGAACACAAGCAGGGGGAGTGGGAGGGGGAGAAGCGGGCTCGATCCCAAGACCCTGGGATCATGACCTGAGCCGAAAGCAGACACTTACCGACTGAGCCACCCAGGCACCCCTAACCTTATCCTTTAAAGAAAACCCAAGTTTGTAATTCTTTCAGATTGGTTATCTTTTAATAGTTTAGTGAAACAAATAATTGAAAAGAATCCATTCCTAATAAAGATTTATGATTTAATGTGAGAGCAGAGAGACTGCTTTTGTATTGAAATGTGATTTTGAACTTACATTGAATTTTGGAGCCTGTTGACTTCACTGAGCCATTTGTCCGCTTTGCCCACTTCAGCCAGCTGTAAATTTCTGTTGAGTGGGAAGGACTTGCAAATAATATGGTGCTTTATTGAAATTCAGTCACTTGTGAAATAGTAGGGCTTTCCTGGGATACTCACTGCAGGCTTGAAATACACAGAGGATTTTATATTTGCTGATCTGCTCTTTCAGTAGCATTTGTTTTCTGATTGATCTGTTCTCTGGATAACTCGAGTGGATGTAATTCTCACTTTTCCTCTCTCTCTCTCGCACTTGCAGCATTTAACATGCCATCTATTAAAATGAACAGTTTGATAACATTTCTGTTGATCCTCACAATAACCCTGTGAGGAAGGGCTGGAGATGATGAAACGGAGGGGTTTTTTGTTTTGTTTTGTTTTTGTTTTTTGCTTTTTTAATAGAATGAGTGATTTGTCCAAGATTAGTTGCCACTGATAATTGATAGAACAGATATTTCTGACTGACTGGTTCTTGCTCTTTTCATTGTACTACACATTGATGTCATAACAGAATTTGCCCCAATTTTTTTGAACACATTTTTCTCTCTGAACATTCAATCTTTAAAACATTTTGTTTGTTCTTAAACTTGTCACTTTGAAATAATTTTAGTTACAAAAAAGTAGTAAAAGTATAATAAAGAGTTCCAAGTATTCTTTACCCAGATTCCCCAAATGGTAACTAACATCTTATATAACCGTAGTACAATATTCAAAACCAGAATATTGCCCCGAAGTAATTATGATTGTCTGCTCTTGACTTGCACTTGCATTGGTGCCTGTAGTTGGTTATCTCTGTTGATCTGAATAAATTGGGTTGCATGTGTTTTATTTAAAAGGACAAATGAGAAAAATGTTTTCTATATCATCTGTTGTACACCTTTGCAAGTGAGTTAAACCTTTTATTTTGATGGTTGAGAAAGTATCGTTGTTTAAAGTAAAGGTGGTTGTTTAGGAATCATTTGTCCACATCTCCACATGTATACCAACAAAATGAAATGTATATGACAAACTTTATTTTACAATTCCTTTGTACATTGTGGTTTTCCCAGATAATTTTTTTGCTTCTAAACGTTTTATTTATTTTTTTAAAGATCTTATTTATTTATTTGAGAGAGTGTGAGAGAGAGAGAGAGCTTGCGCGCACGAGTGGGGGTAGGGGCAGGAGGAGAGGGAGAAGCAGACTCTCCGCTGAGCAGGGAGCCTGATGTGGGGCTCAGTCCTAGGACTTTGAGATCATGTCCTGAGCTGAAGGCAGATCCCCAATGGACTGAGCCACCCAGGCGCCCCTGCTTCTAAATGTTTTAACCTAAGGAAGATAGTAAGGTGTTAGAACTATAAATGACAGTAAGCAAGTTGCTTTATTAAAGAAATGCTTTATCTGCATCGTCTCGTTTGTTGATCTTTGAAGATCACTGCGGTCAGAAAATGCTGTCTCTTAAACTTCTCAGTATTCTCCATTTACCTATAAAAATGCTTGTAGAAGTCATGCTCTTTATAATTACAGTTTTGAAATTGTTTGCTTTGTGCAAAACAACTGAATTATCAGACCAGTTGTAGGATCCGTATTCTTTTCTCTGGCAGTCTTTATTACGTGAGGATGAGGTTTTCCTTAAGTGTCTTATCTCTGGACCTGATAGTAGTTAATGAACCCAACCCTTGGTACACTTATTTGGGAACATTTCAGTTACATATAACCTCATATAATGAGCAGTCTAGGTTACTAAATTCTCTGCAGTTTGTCGTTTTCCTATAGCTCAGTTTTCATTTTCTGTTCTGCTTGAAAAGTTTCCACATCCTCGAAATACATTTCTCTCAGACTATCTAAGAATTTCTCTCAGATTATTGTTTTCTTTGCTTTTCATTGGCTTTGAGAAAAACTTTATCTGCTCTCCCTTCCTTCTTAGGAAATGTTTATAGTAAATGGGAAAAATAAAACTTGTTAATTAAAAACAACTACTCTATATTCAGGTTATGGGAGTTTAAGCCAGGAAATCATCGACACTTTAGAATATAAGTTTCCATGAGGTGCTATTGTGTGATGAAGGAAGTGGGGAAAATCCCAGATTTTCAGATTTCATAACCCTGTATAACTTTAACAGTTGAAAATAAAAATTAAAGGCCAAACTTTTTTTGCTGTTGTTTACAAGTTAGGCAGATTGAATAATAAAAAACCTGTGGGAAGAGATAATAAAAGATACTCTTCATTATTTCTTGGTTGGAATCACTTTCATATTAAAATTTGAAAGTTTGCCATGAACATTTTTTAGTTACTTTTCATTTTCTCCCAGATTACATTTTGGTAATACATTTTGAATATAGCCTATCATGGTCTTTGCCATTTTTACCAGTTTTGATTTTTCCCTTTTGGATGAGAGCCTTGTCCAGCCAACACGGAGAAGTACATTTTTAGGGAGCAAACCTGGCTCCAGGGTTGTTTGCTGAGGTCCTTTTTATGTGGAAAGAATGGTTATTACCAGGGAAGGTTTTCCTTTTGTTTTACTTGCTATCCAGATGCCGCTCAGACTCTCGCTCTCGCACAGGATCACAGTATGGATATTCCAAGTCAAGACCAACTGAAGGTAAAATCACCACACGGTGACTTCTTTTGTTGTACAGAGTGGCCCCTTCTCTGTACCTATGGATCTTGGACTCCCAAGACCTTTCTCTGAATGTGGTAAGAATTTAATAAGAAAGGTTCTTGGGAGTTCACAGACCAGGGACAGAGTGAAACTTCTCTGTTCTGCCCATAACAGAGTTCCAGTCTCTGAATCTTTCTTTGGGATGTAGCACTTCTGATCTTCAGTTCCTCCAGTTGCATTTCCTTTGGGGTTTGTGTATGCCTGTGTGTGTGAGGTGTATGTATATAGGTGTTTGAGAAAACTGCTTTATTAGATTTTAACAGGCTTTTTGCAATTAAGTTCATGTCAGGCCATTCTTAAATCTTCTCCAGACCTGGGAAAACTTTACGATCATCTTGGTATATGCTGAGGGTTTCACATGTTTTCTGAATTATGCCTAATTTTGTAGTAGAGAGGCTTTACATCCATAGCCTGTTTTTAACAGTAGATTTTGGCCTTTTGTGCAGGTATTTCTTTCCCCCCCAGGTTTGGGATTCTCTTAGCTCTGCTCCCAGTGGGTTAAGGAGAGATGTTGCCTTTATTTGATGATTGTTGTGAACTTCAGAGATCTCTTTCTTGTGCGTAACCCATTGTGCCGCACACTAACTGGTGAGCCAGAATGGAACTGCTACATCCCCTGGTCTCAGTCATTTTTACTGCACTAATAGACATCTTTCCCTTTTTCTTTCAGCAAAGTGCAGAAGAAAGTTCCAGTTCCAGGAAAAGAACGGAAGAAGGCAATATTCCTACACTGCCTACCTCACAACATAAATGCAGAAATTCTAGAGAAGGTAAGTTTTGGATTAAGGCTATACATTTTTTTTTTTTCTTTCTTTTGTTGATGACTTGTAGAAATGACATTTATTCACATTAAGCACTGGCTGTAATTGAGACCATTCTGTAGACAACTCAAAAAATAATACTGCACTTTCTTTGCATATGAAGTAGGAGGGGCATATGTCATACTTACTTCTCATTCTTTTCTAAAAACTTTTTCTTTACCCTAGTGACCATTGTTAACTTTGAAGAAGGTGGTAGTGCTCTTTTAGCAATCTGTGTTTACTGGGATGGAGCAAGACCTGTCCTTTGGCTGGCATGCTAATAGAAGATCGCTACAGATTTATCAATTTGCCACCTAGTAAATCACCTGCCTTGGCCTTTTAAATATTGACGTACTTGTATATATTCAGTCTGGTTAGGATTTTTATTTTGATTTGTCTGCTTGAGGCAAAGGCTAATTTTTGTAGAGTTTTGAAGTTTGCAAAGATGATGCATCCTTAGTCTGTCAGAGCCAAGAATGAGACCTCAGGAGCCTAGTAGTTCCTTTGCTCTTGGATGATAGTTCTCAGATCTTTGCCATCGATACTGGATATGCTATGGTCAGGTTAAATGAGTTAATCGATATTTTGAAAGTTTTCCCCAAGCTCTGCTTTATAAAGTATCTCCTAAAATTTTTTCTATACAGGTATATAAAATCATAAATTACTCAGGTATTTTATGGCATGATAGTTTCTAGTTTCGGTACTGGCTCACACTTGGAGCAATGGCAGGTTAGACCTCTAGCAACATCTCAGAAAGTGATGCTGCTGTAATTGTCTTAGATGTTTAAAACTGAATCAGTTTATCATGCAACCGAATTTTGAGCTACCTAGTCACCTTGGAGTTTATTTCAGTCTGTATGGTATTAAATGTGTAATTTCTTCTTTAAATGCAGGTCCTTGCTTGTTTACTACTCAGAAATAAAAGAATAGCCTATTCAAGAGACTGTATTTAGTTTGTGCTGTAAATTTTGAGAATAAAGAGCCTAGTATTTTCAGGAAAGTGTGTAGGTAGAAAGGACAGACTTTGTATACATGAAAAGGATATTTCTGTTCCCTTTACAAGATGTTAGAGGACTTGAAGAGACGAGGATAACTTTAATATGGCATCATCTCAGGAATTTGGGTTTCGATAATGGTAGTAATGAGTAAGTGAAAAGCTGAACTTTCCCCTGAACTTAATGGGCAGGGTTCAACATAATTTGTAAGTAGATAAGGTAATCTTTTGTTCGGACAGGGACCCATTTATTGCAAGTTTTCAAGCACGTGTACCTCAACACATTTAAGCACCTGTGGTTGCTATTGGTGTGGCTGGTGCATTGGGAAGAGGTAGAGGAGAGTGAGGAAGTAGGGCAAGAGGATAGCACAACAAAAAAAGATTGGATGATGGGATGTTGTGGTAGCACCATACTTACGTTAGTAATCACCTTGAATGTCATTGGATGTACAACACGAGATCTTTTACTTGGAATATGTGGTGCCTTCTTATGTTTTGGGTTTGCAATATTTCTAGATCTTAGATAACTCCAAAAGAGAGCCCATCGATCCAGAAAGAACATAGGTATAGATTTACTTAGACAACCTAGAGTTCAGTGTTTTATAATGGTTGTTACCTATCCAAACATGAATTCGTGAGAAACATCCCTAAATACATAGCAGCGAGACTGCCTTGACAACCTTGTGGATGCCCATTCGGTCCGGACTGCCTTGCTTCTGTCTTTAGGTTCAGCCGCTCTGCTGCCACCATTTGCAGTTCATGGATCAGGCCATTATCGGGCATCATGTACTAGAGCAAGTCTTTTCTTCAGTTAATGCCGTGGTGTGAATGTTTAACATGGCAGTAAATAACCATTTCGAAATCCTTCTAGAACCATGTCATTGTTTGGATGTTTTCAGAGTTTAGATTGCTTGATAAATGATCATCTGCTTCTAGTGTCGTTACTTGCTAATGAATGAGGCCTAAATTTGAAAGGAGGTCTGGGCTCTGTGACTGAGATATTTGATTTCTGTTTCTTTCATACTGGCTGTAGAAATTTCTTTTTACCTGTCTTATAAAAGAGATTGTAATGTTACAAAGCGAGTTTTGATTCTTAGTGTTGTGTACATAGTTACTGTCCTTTCCATTTGACTGCTGTAGATGAAGACTTCATAAAAAACTTAACGCAAGATGAGACATCTAAGCTGGACCTTGGGTTTGAGGAGTGGGATGTAGCTGGGCTGCCTTGGTGGTTTTTAGGAAACCTGAGGAGCAACTATACACCTAGAAGTAATGGCTCGACTGATTTACAGACAAATCAGGTAAATGTCACATTTGAAGAGGAACTTTCTGGTTTTTTTTTTTTTTTTTTGAAAGAGTAACATTCTTGGTTACTCTTGACCACACATTGCATTCTGTAAGAATTCTCATTCAGCGCTGACTTTAAGTACCATCTGTGTGCGTCTGCTGCTCAAATCCGTATCTGCAGCCCTGACCTCTTTTCTAAATGCCCAGCTTCTATATTCAGCTGCCTACTCCACACCTCCACTTAGATGATCTGACATTTAACATGTTCAAACCAGAGCTCTTGATTTTATTTTTAATTTTTTCTAAACATTCCTTTACGGCCTTTCATTTTTCACAAATCTACCTTCTATCCAGTTATTCCAGCCAGATCTAAAGGGATAGCATTGATTTCTGTATCTGTCATATGCCACATGCAGGTTATCAGTTCTTTATCCAAAACATATCCAAAATCTGACGACTTTTATTACTTCCGGTGTTACACTCTAATTCAAACCATAAGCATTCTGTTCCTTTATCTTATTTTATATTCTCTCTTGCATTTCTCACTTTGAAAAACTGTTATTTTGTTTATATATCTATTGCCTATTTACCCTTACTGAAATGAAAGTCCAGGGCTTTCACATTATTCATGCTTTATTCTCTTACCTAGTTCCTAGAACAGTATCTGACACGTAATAGGAATTCAGTGAGTATTTGCTCAGTAAATGAATGGATATAGAATAGTGGCAAAATAATACGTTTTCTCTTAGGAATAGTATAGAAAAGCATGTCATAAAGTACCCATAGATGCGGGGGGCCTGGGTGGCTCTGTCGTTAAGCATCTGCCTTCGGCTCAGGTCATGATCCCAGGGTCCTGGGATCGAGCCCCGCATTGGGCTCCCTGCTCGTGTTCCCTCTCTCGCTGTGTCGCTCTCTGTCAAATAAATAAATAAAATCTTAAAAAAAAAAATCCATAGATGAATGCAGAAAGAAGGGTTTTTTTGTTTTTTTTTTTTTTTGTTTTATTTATTTATTCATGAGAGTCAGAGAGAGAGAGAGGCAGAGGGAGAAGCAGGCTCCCCGCCTAGCAGGGAGCCCGATGCGGGACTCAATCCCAGGACCCTGGGATCATGACCTGAGCCGAAGGCAGACGCTTAACCATCTGAGCCACCCAGGCGCCCCAGAAAGAAGGTTATATTTAAAGTCGTTTAGGAATTCAGAAAGAGTCAGGACAGAAGATTTGAGTTACCATCAGTATTTCTTATATTTCAATAAACATTGTTTTTTTTAAAGATGTTATTTATTTATTTATTTGTTTGTTTAGAGAGAGCGAGAAGAGGGAGAGAGAGATCTCAAGCAGACTCTGTGCTGAGTGCAGAGCCTGACATGGGGCTCGATCTCATGACCTTGAGATCATGACCTGAGCCAAAATCAAGAGTTGGATGCTTAATCGACTGAGCCACCCAGGTGTCTTTCAGTAAACATTATTGGCCATAAAGGAAATAATATATCACAGTTAATAGAATGTTTTCTAGGTTCTCAGAGTGTCACCTTTGGAAAGGAAATTTTGGGAACGGGTTCTGTTTAGTTGAGCAACTATGAGTCTTTAGCTTTTAAGCTTTTTGGTACTATTTCTCAGGTCTTATACCGGATTTACTGTTAAAATAGAAAATTCCTTGCCAGGCTCCCTATATCCATTCATTAGTTTATACATAGTTAGGTGCCAAGTAGTTATCTGTTGAATGAATAGATGTCCGCCGAAGAAAGGCTAGGTGTTTTTTGGAGGTATGTGAGGATCTTGAGTTTGGGGTTCATTTCTCTTGGTTCAATGTCACCGATAAGCCTCTGACTACAAAAACTCACATTTGTTTTTTTCTATTAGGATATAGGTACTGCCATTGTTTCAGACACCACAGATGATTTGTGGTTTTTGAATGAGTCTGTATCAGAGCAATTTGGTGTGGGAATAAAAGTTGAAGCTGCAGACACTGAACAAACAAGTGAAGAAGTAGGAAAAGTAAGAGACAAAAAGGTATGTTTGGAAAAATTTCACGTTGGTTGTATTTATGTGCACATAGTATAATCTGTTCAGATCTGGTATCCTGACCCTTTGTACCACAGATGACTTACATAATCCCCCCCTTTTACTTTTATTGTTTTCCTGTATCCAGTTTTCAGGTTCACATTAAGTTAACCAACACTATCTTAAAAGTAGGGTAGGACTGCATGGGTAAAACTCCTCCTTCCTTAGAAGCAAGAAGCTGCCCCTTCCTCCTTGTCTAATCTCTCACTATGGAGTTTTTGCTTCTGGAGACCTTGCTTTGCTAACAAGGCAAAGTTCAAAGTGGCTGTGGCAGCCTGTAGGGAAAAAAATTCTTACTTCTTGGACATCTCAGTGTCTTCCACAGTCACTCATATCTAAATGGGAATAGACAGGTGAGTTCTTCTTACATAAGTTGGAGTTTAAATAAGGGGAAAGAAGAGAGAACTCTGAATACACATAGTGTGAGCACAATAAAAGTCATATAAGCATGTGCTCAAGTCTCAAAAGAGATTGGACAGCAGATCCAATGCCTGACATTGACAAGATTCTCAGTAAATATCTATTGAGTAAGTATAACAAAACACAGATCTAAATAGGGTCATCTTTTTAATTTGAGGGATTTTCATAGTAATTTGGGTTCCTGAAGGATATTTTGATATGTTTATAGGCAGATCAACGCTTGGGTCCTGCTAGACTAGTTGTATGAGTGGCATTAGAAGGGACTCCAAGTGGCTGGAATGAAGACAAAGGTGACATTTGGAAACTTCCATTGAGAGACATGGAACTTAAAATAGTTGAACTTGTGTGAGGAAGTTGACATACTGAGGTTCCTATTTGTATCGTAATTGATTTTATTCCATTCACTAGATCACAAAATAGGGTTTTAATTTTTAGAATTTTAAATTCTGAGTTAGAAAATTTAGAAGACACTTCCCACATTTCTTGACTTTCTGTTTCCTGGTCCACGGGCATTTTTTTTTTTTTTAAGATTCATTTATTTATTGGGGCACCTGAGTGGCTCAGTCATTAAGCGGCTGCCTTCGGCTCAGGTCATGATCCCCGGGGTCCTGGGATCGAGCCCCGCATCGGGTTCCCTGCTTGGCGGGAAGCCTGCTTCTCTCTCTCCCACTCCCCTCTGCTTGTGTTCTCTCTCTCACTGTGTCTCTCTCTGTCAAATAAATAAATAAAATCTTTAAAAAAAAAAGATTTATTTATTTATTTGAGAGAGAGAGAGCATGAGCGGGGTGAGGGGCAGAGGGAGAAGCAGACTCCCCATCAAGCAAGGAGCCCGACGCGGGACTCGATCCCAGGACCCTGGGATCATGATCTGAGCCCAAGGCAGATGCTTAACTTACTGAGCCACCCAGGCGCCCCAGTGGGCATGTTTTTATGGGACAACCAGAGTATCACATAACTAGTTTTACTTTTGGGTACGAAATTTACTTTTCATAAAATACTTTTCATTCTTCACATCTCAGTTCCTTATTTTACGTAGTGCTTTTCACTTCATTTTTTCATGCAGTCCTTATTCTTGTGAATGCCTGCATAAATTCTCAAGATAAAAAATTTCCACGTTTAATGGTTTGTAGCTTTTCTACTCTGCTACCGTTTATTTTCATTGAAGTCATACATATGGGTGTCCTCTTGTATTTGGTGAGCCTTCTGGGCACTTTTCAGTCATTTCTTCTATTGAGCTGCCAACTGGGTGTGCACAGAGTCATGTAAGCCATTTTCTTTTTTTTTTTTTTTAAAGATTTTATTTACTTTTTCAACAGAGAGACACAGCGAGAGAGGGAATACAAGCAGGGGGAGTGGGAGAGGGAGAAGCAGGCTTCCTGTGGAGCAGGGAGCCCGATGTGGGGCTCGATCCCAGGACTCTGGGATCATGACCTGAGCCGAAGGCAGACACTAAACAGCTGAGCCACCCAGGCACCCCAAGCCATTTTCTTTTCAAGTGCTAGTGTTGGAGGCACAATTTGAGCTCTAAATTGAAGCTCTTCTGTCTTTTTTGCTCTCAGGTTATAGCCTCATCTAAACTAGGTGAACCTTACTAATGAGATGTCTTTGCCCTCGCAGGTGGTTGAAGTGGGAAAAAATGATGACCTTGAGGACTCTAAGTCCCTCAGTGATGATACTGATGTAGAAGTTACCTCCGAGGTATGAGTAGCTAGTAAAAAAGCTGTTTTGCACCACGTGCGTTTTCCAGTGTGAACGTTCCAGCAATGCACTTGTGTTGAAGAAGGCCATTTCCCCCGTTTCTATCTTGCTTTCCTTGGTGTTAAGACATATTGGCTTCTTTATATCTTGTTAGAGGTTTTTATTGGGATTTGGAGAAGAGGAGGATGAGTTGACCTAATCCTCTCCCCACCTTGAAAGGGGTGACTTAAATGCCTGTCTGTATGCCTTTCTCCCTGCTAACAAAATTCTTTGGACGTGATGCAGTGGATACACAGAGTTATTTAAAATAGTCCTATACTACTTTCCCCACTAAACAGCCCTCCATAATCCTAAAGATAGATTTGTAAGCTACCTAAAATTCTTTCTCAAGAATAAAGATCATATTTTCACTGCTTTCTTAAAAACAAACCAGTGGGAAATGGCTTAATTTCCACACAGGTTTACATTAATGGAGGGCTAGTAAATGAAGATGTAGTATTAAGCTATTGGGTATTAGGTGTGGATTTGTCACCAGATGTGACAACCGAGGTTTAGATTCAGACATACACCTTGCCTTTCTCTTTTCATGCTAGTTCCCCATTTTCCTTTCAGCATTTCCCTTGGCTCACTTGTTGGGAAGGGTGGTGGGGGAAGGAGAAGGGAGGGGATTTTACAGTTTGCTACTTGGGGATAGAAAAGTTGTAGGTTGTCTCTGGTGTTGATCTTCCCCCAATTCCCAGCCTGCCACTGTTGACCATTATGGTAATGCATTGTAAATTATCTGTCTGTGCGTAGCTAAGTAATAAAATGGAATATATTGGTCCATTAAGTGTTCTTGACGATAATACAAATAGCAGAGATAAGTGTTTCCATCTTAATAAGACTTCTGTGGCTACTTGGGCCCAGAAAACCTATTAAGCAAATAGACTGTATTTCATCAAATCAAAGATGCCATTTAATTTAATAAGCCCTATTTATGAACTACTAAAGAAAAAAAAATGATGCCAATTAGACTATGACACACCATCAGTTACGAATTCCAAGTCTTTATGAAGTGCCTTTGAGATTCTGTATAGCATGAAATAGATGAGATGAGATCTGGGATCTTAAACTGGCAAGAATGTTTTGACGCTATCTAAAGACCACCAGTTTAACAAATGGTCGTGTCCCTGCCTCTTGGCCTAGGCAGTTGAGTTAGGCCTTCTAAACATGAAGTGTGCAGCCTTCATTCTGAAAGTAATCCAGTTTGCCTGTGTTAAATCACTGATCCTGTCAAAGCCAGGCAATTATCCACATTAAATACTCTTGACTTGTTCCAGGTAGCTACCTTTGCATTAAGTGAGGCATTTAAAATTCACTGAGCTCTAGTATCTCCTAATTTGAATATGGAGAAGTAGGAAAAAAGTTACCAGCATCCAAGGGCAAGAACATTCATTTTTAAGAGGGTAGGGTTTAGGCATACAACAGTTAGTGACCTCTGATCCTGAGAGCAGTGAGAGAGCATGAGTAATGTAGTAGTTTTCAAACCTCATTTTTTTTTTTTTTTTGGTAAAGATTTATTTATTTATTTGACGGAGAGCACAAGCACGGGGAGCAACAGGCAGAAAGAGAGAGGGAGAAGCAGGCTTCCCGCTGAGCAGGGAGCCTGATGCGGGGCTCAATCCCAGGACCCTGGGATCATGACCTGAGCCCTCGCAGACGCTTAACGACTGAGCTACCCAGGCTCCCCATTATTTTATTTTTTTTTAAAGATTTTATTTATTTATTTGACAGAGACAGCGAGAGCAGGAACACAAGCAGGGGGAGTGGGAGAGGGAGAAGCAGGCTCCCCACAGAGCAGGGAGCCCGATGCGGGGCTCGATCCCAGGACCCTGGGATCATGACCTGAGCCGAAGGCAGATGCTTAACGACTGAGCCACCCAGGCGCTCCCAAACCTCATTTTAATTTTAGCTTCCTTTTTGCCAAATTTTATAACATTTCTTAATTAGTGGGAAGGAAAGAAAGTGTTATCTTTTCTTCATTCTTTAGCCTCTTGCTCAATAAAAGAGTAAGTTGTACAATGAGAAATGAACTAAAAAAGAAGGCAGCAGGGAAAAGCAAGCAATGTAAATTCCACCCAGACTAGACAAAATGCCAGAATAATGAATTTAACTTTCTTAAAGATAGCTATATCAAATTTTGACTTGAAATGGCGATTTTGTCACTGTCACTGTAAAACTTCTCTGGACTTTCTTACACATGGCTGTGGAATGTTCAGATGCGAGGCTAGACCACTGACGTGGAATGTCTGGACTCTCACTAGCTTGGTGAGATGATGACATTTGGCCTACCCTCCCTTTTTCTCAGCTTCACGGTCACCACTGCGTGAGTATTAATCGGCTGCACTTGTCGTTGTAGGATGAGTGGCAGTGTACTGAGTGCAAGAAATTTAACTCTCCAAGCAAGAGGTACTGTTTTCGTTGCTGGGCGTTGAGGAAGGATTGGTATTCGGATTGTTCTAAGTTAACCCATTCTCTCTCCACGTCTGATATCACTGCCATACCTGAAAAGAAGGAAAATGAAGGAATTGACGTGCCTGATTGCCGAAGAACCATATCAGCTCCAGTTGTTAGACCTAAAGATGTATATACAAAGGAAGAAAAAAACCCCAAACTTTTTGATCCCTGCAGCTCAGTGGAATTCTTGGATTTGGCCCACAGTTCGGAAAGCCAGGAAACCATATCAAGCATGGGAGAACAATCAGATAACCTTTTCGAACAGAGAACAGATACAGAAAACATGGAGGATTGCCAGAATCTCTTGAAGCCATGTAGTCTGTGTGAGAAAAGACCACGAGATGGGAACATTATTCATGGGAGGACAGGGCATCTTGTCACTTGTTTTCACTGTGCCAGAAGATTGAAGAAGGCTGGGGCTTCATGCCCTATTTGCAAGAAAGAGATTCAGTTGGTTATTAAGGTTTTTATAGCATAGCTGACTCCATGAATTGCAGAGAAATATTAACGGGCTACGTATGTATCAAAATGTCAGTATTGAGCATCTCCACTCGGTGTAACCCACTGCATCTGTTTATTTATTTATGTAAACATCCGTGTGTCACAACATTTTTCTTTCTACACTTAGAGGGAATTTGAGAATAAGTTCTTTAGAACTAGATTATCAATTTGGGGCACTCCCATTAGTATGAAAAGGTGCGTTAATCACTTCATTCTCTCTTTAAAGATGAGGATCTGGGAGAAAGCAACTGTCAGTACAAACAAAAGTACTTTAATTCGTTCACTTACCCAGTTACTTGAAGATTTAGTATTTCTTCAATTAATTTTATTCCCTATTCTTTTTTTCTGTTAGGGAGTGTTCTTAGGCATCAAGATCCAAGGTGGCTTTTAGAAAAATATTAGAGCTAACAATGAAAAAAACATAAGTAATTTGATTAGTCAAGCTGTGTAATGCTATAGATCACTTTATGGTTGCAATCAGGCCACACAATTCAGATAAGCCAAAAGAAAAGTCTTGAGAAACAAGAGCATTTTGCTAACATACCCCTGAAAGAATTTTGAAAAACTATATATAACCTTTTGCACATTTTACACCTTGGGGTATGATTAGCAAACAAAGTGTTCCCTTATGGTGAGTTGTAGACATCTGAGTAGCCAGCCTAAAACAAGCTACTCTAAGGGGACGGTTTCTGTCCCTTGTGCCCCTTTCCAAGCAGTTCCTTCTCCATTTCATGGCTCTCATTCTCAGTTAGTTTTCCTTTTGCACATGTTTAATGTGACATCTAAATTTTAAAAATTAAGTACTTACAAAGGATACCCTATCCAATATATTGTATATGTGCCTTAAAAATATTTTTCTCAAAGCCTTGGAGCTGTATATTTAGCTGATTAAATTTATAGGAGAAGTCCTGTCATATAAAGTAGCAAAGCCTGTTCTCATATTAAAATTCACCAGCCGAATCAGATTTCATTTTCAGTCAGAAAATGTTTGACTTTATTTTTAATTCAGATAAATGCATTAACACATTTCTGGCACAAGCTTCTCAATTATAGTTCTAAGATAGATGAGGTGCAGAGTTTTTAACCGAAGCTCTCTTTGCTTTACTCTGTCCTCATTGTCCCTTGAGAATTTTCTGGGGTTTTTTTTTTTTATTGTTGTTCTTTTGTTTGATGCCTCCAGAGGTTTTTTGCATTCTGAGGCAATGCCCCGTAGTAAGATTCTAGATGGGTATGAGTCAGCCTTTCTTTTGGAAATAGGGAGTATGGCAGTTGTGAAAATGAAAGTAAGTAAAGAAAAATGTTAGATCTGAAGAAGCCTTATCTGAGCACATACATCTTAGGGCAATACATATGGAAATTGAAGATCTTTAAGCTGATGTCCTTATACATATTCCTGTCTGCTTTCCCCATGGAAAAAATCTTGATGTATGCCCAGGGGTTTGCATATGAGATTTTGAAGACCATGGCCCTAGAATTAACAAATTTACTGATCATAAAAATCACCTCAGTTGCTTGTTAAGAAAAGCCCAAGTCAAAAAAAAAAAAAAGAAAACAAACAAATTTAAACAACAGCCCTGTTTCCCCCCGTGAGGGGTTTCTTTCCACTAGAACATGTGTTCTGGAAGCTGGTAAATGGTCCACAGACCACACTTTGGGAAGCCCTGCCCTGGAAGGAAGGGTTTTCCCAGTTACAAGAAGTACAATGAACAAGATTGCTTTTAGCATCATATTTAATTTCTTGAGGGGGAGTTTTGTTAAAAGTTCTAGAAGTTTAAAACTAGAATGCACTCTTAAACTCAACCCTTGTTATTTTGCACTTCAGGCTAAAAGGTAAATGACAGCCAAGAGTCACAGCTAGTGATGCAACTGTTACTAGAATCCAAGTCCCTTGTAGTAAATCCCGAAACCATGCTCACTTTCTTCTCATTATTTGTTAACTATTTAAAGGGTGATGCTTGTGGAATTTGGGTTCAAGGTGCTCATCATCTTAAAATCTTGCAGAATATGACTTGCAGCCAAAGTAGGACTTTAGAGAGAATGACTTTTAACCCTTTCTCCCCAAAGACAAAAGGCCCAGTAAATATCAGCCTTTCTTTTTTTTTTTTTTTTTTTTAAAGATTTCATTTATTTATTCATGAGAGACAGAGAGAGAGAGAGAGAG